ACCGTCACTACCCAAGTCACTATATCCACATTTGTTGTATCCACTTTATTTTTCAACGTAGAGTAAGCTATTTCCTGTGAATGTGCGAGACTTCTGATTCATTAGCTGCTAGGTAAATAACTAGAGGAATAACAAAGTCAGTTAATGTTAAAACTATTTGCACTACAAATTAGGGCTGGGAGGTATGGCGGTATATATGTCGTTACTGCGGAATAAAGTGTCTATCGTTAGAGATTTTGCTATATCGTGTATTCCGCGGTATCAAATATATCTGCGTAACATACTGTTTAAACGTTATATTCACCTTTGAGTGATAAGGAAACATGCATGAATGAGAAAATAAAGAGTGACACACTTGATCGAGTTATTAAGTGCAATAACCAGTGAAAAATAACTCAATGCGGTGCTCGCACTGACTGACACACACGAAGCACAACTCAGAAAGCGCGTCCCAGACAGCATGTGATCGCGAATTTGGGACGTGCATGATGTTTAATGAAGTTATTAAGTGAAAGGGAAAAAAGCTCAATCCACTGCTCGCGCTGACTGACACACAGCCTAAGCGCACGCACTGAAAGCCCCTCTCAGACAGCATGCGATCACGAAAACAGATCTCTTTCCTGTTTTATTGTGCTTGAATGGTCAAATAAGCACACTGTTATGTCATAATGCCCGTCGTGTGGAGTACTGAAGTAAGCACAGTCGGTTATATGTTAAAGGGGTCATATGATGCTGCTAAAAAGAACATTATTTTGTGTATTTGGTGTAATGAAATGTGTTTATGCGGTTTATAGTTAAAAAAACACATTATTTTCCGCATACTGTACATTATTGTTTGTCCTCTATGCCCCGCCTTTTTGAAACGCGTCGATTTTTACAAAGCTCATCGGTCTGAAAAAGCGGGGTGTGCTGTGATTGGCCAGCTATCCAGTGTGTTGTAATTGGCCGAATACCTCAAGCGTGAGACGGAAATGTTACGCCCCTCACCATACTGTTGATACCGTGTCCAGGCCGGAGCGACGAGACAAAAACATTAAAACCCATTACAAACGAGGCATTTGTTGCATCCAGTGGGGACATAATTACTGATTCTAATGACTTATACGGTCTTTTTACGCATTGCGTTGCATTGCATCGCGCCGTGTAAACATAAAACCCTGTCTGCATTTGTGATCAGAGAAATGACAAACAACAAGTGCTACTCCACACTGCCCAAAACTCGCATTTGAAACATCAGTGGCAAATCCTTTAAATGAAAATGTACTTACTTGAGTCAGAACTGCCGGCATTTTATTCTAACGTTACTCTCCCAGGATCAGTAAACAGTCCTCCATAAAATGTGCTGCACACATCTGGATATTTGGGTTAAACTGTTCTGGAACAGTGTTGTAAATACAACTTAACCACTGATTTGTAGTCGTGTCCTCGTTTGGAAGACCAAACAAAGTAGTTTCGCTTTCACAACGAAAAACACAGCGGCCTAGCGGAAGAGCTGTGGCCGGGCTAGAGTGAGCAGAGGCGGCGGAGTTGAGAACGGCGCAGCCGGCGGATCCGATGAAGGAGCGGCAAGCACATGTGACGACCCCGGGCTTCGTCCACGGTGAAAGCCGATCCGGCGATCCACAGCACTAAGTTGATGTATTCCCTCAGCGACCAGCACAGATCAGCTCTAGGCATGACGAAACGGATATTCAAATACGCACACTGTAATGTAAAATGCCCTTCGTGTGGAGTATTCAAGTAAACACAGTCGGTTATATGTTAAATAAATGTAAAACAGTTGGGTGAAAACCGGATGTGTTTCAGTATATTGGATCCATGCAGTCGTAATATTATTCTTACTACATGTTAAATAAACCTAGCCTACTGTAGCTGAATAAATTAAGTTTATTTCATATTTATTTGTTCTGTTGTGCTTGTAATTTGCTTCTTTTTTAAAATTTTTATAACAAAAATAAAATAAAAATAGCTATATCAAGGTATACATCATTATCGTGAAATAAAAGTTCTCATACCGTGAAATAAGATTTTGGTCCTATTGCCCACCCCTACTACAAATTATCTGTTTATAATTATGATAATAAATTAAAATAATATGATAATAATATGATACCAAATACCAGTTTTCCACATTAAGCAGCATAATTGACTGCTACATACAGGTAAAACAAGGCTTCTTCACTAAGGAAATAAATTCATACAGGTTTGGACTACAGAATAGGCCGAATACCTTTTAGAATTTAAATGTTTGCTCAAAACAGTGAAGACTATGCAGTGTTTTATTTATACACTTTATTCAATTTCTGTAATATATCTTTCTACATGTTAAATAAACCTAGCCTACTGCAGCTGAATAAATTAAAAGTTTATTTCATATTTATTTGTTCTGTTGTGCTTGTAATTTGCTTCTTTTTTAAAATTTTTATAACAAAAATAAAATAAAAATAGCTATATCAAGGTATACATCATTATCGTGAAATAAAAGTTCTCATACCGTGAAATAAGATTTTGGTCCTATTGCCCACCCCTACTACAAATTATCTGTTTATAATTATGATAATAAATTAAAATAATATGATAATAATATGATACCAAATACCAGTTTTCCACATTAAGCAGCATAATTGACTGCTACATACAGGTAAAACAAGGCTTCTTCACTAAGGAAATAAATTCATACAGGTTTGGACTACAGAATAGGCCGAATACCTTTTAGAATTTAAATGTTTGCTCAAACTATCCCTTTAATGTTTTGACCTAAAATTTAACACAGTATTTTACCATCAAAACTATCCTTATGACAACTTTGTTTCCCTAGAGGTGAAGTGTGAAGAAAACTGCTTGGTCCAAAATATATTCGCACCTTCTGAGCAGGACAATGAGCAAACAAAACAGCTGTTTAGCTCCAGGAAAGACTTATAATTTAAACTTAAGAGTGAGCTGGTTGTCATACTGATGTGAGTTGATGGCTATAATGAGGAATAGTCAAATTAACAGACATGCCCTTAACAACTCAGCAGCTCCTGAGAGGGACTGCAGTCTAGATCACAACCTTAATTAGCACATGGGGGAAATTTAGGTCAGTTTAAGCACAGGAGCGAGGGTTTAGCCATGACTTAAGGAGGGTAATTAATTAGTCACATGCAGATACTAAACAGGCTCATTAGTGAAGTGACTGTGGGCTAAAGGACATCTGTGTGTCTGTGCATGCGTTAATAGTTGTGAACATAAAGACGCAAAATAAATGAACATAATCCATGTTGTGAAATAGCTCATTTCATGGTATGTAGATGTAACAAATGCAACTCTTGTAGGACAGAAAAAACGGAATGCACATTATATATAATCTGTCAGTTTATTTCGTAAATCCATGCTCATGTCCTTATGTTTGAAAATGCTCCTCTCAACTATTACACAGATTTACTCTAAAATAAGAAAATATTATCTTTCAATAAGGCGATAAGAGCTGCCAGTTTAAACTGATGGGCTTTTATACTTGTTACGGGAATCTAATACATCTTCATCTCTGGCCAACTCAGACGCTATCAAGAGACGGGCCCATTTTAGGCAATTATACCGCAGCCTGTACTGATGGGGGTGATGTCGTGCAGGCACGATGAGAATGATGGGTAACTGTCAGCGGTGTGGTGAAAAATAGGATCCATATTGTATTAAAATAAATGTCTAAAGCCAGCAGAAACTCCATTTTGAAGTGACAGTTTGTTTTGTAGATGCTAGTATATGTGCAAAAAGAAAAGTAGAAAAAAGCGAAAAAGACAGACAGAAGAACGTACAGTAGTAAATCCAGGACAATGCTGCAAATCACGAACAACCTGTTCAAGTTAGAATGTTACTCTTTGTTTTCCCCACTCAGAATAAAGACTATATAGACAACAAAAATATCAGTGCATGGGAATAATGCATCATGATTCATGTGTCCAATGTCTGAGTCAGTTCATGAAATTACTAATGACCTGTGTTAATGTAATTTATGAAACAAATCTCATCAGAATAGTGTTTTTAAAACAGTAAGACATTAAACCAGTTACAATTAAAACAGACACTAAACCATTAACACGGGTATAGTCGCATTAATATAAGAAGAACATTAATACAGTACACTAGCACTAGGCCATTACACAACAAATCGTTCAGTTTGCTTACATAACTCATATTTTTCGTTCATTTTCGAAGGACGCACTCTCCGGAAGTCGCATTTGTCGGCTGCATACATCATTAAGGCTGCCTCTTTTCAGAAAAGTAACCACTGCATTCCAAAGTAAGACAATAATTCACACCAATGCAATAATTCAAAGAATAACAGCCAACTTTTTTATAATTTTTTATAACGGTTACTTAAAGGGATAGTTCACCATCAGTTGCTGGTCCCCATTGACTTGCATTGTTTTTTTTTTGGGGGGGGGGGGTTCCATCCTATGGAAGTCAATCAATAGGGACCACCAACTGGAGGTGAGCAAATAGCATTCGAGCTGTGAAGAAACATTTCATCGGTTGGACATATACTGAACGAATATGCCCACTGTACTAAACAAGTCTAAACAAGACTCCGAGAGGCACAGAATTAGACATCTTTTTGGTGAACGAAAATAATGAACAGTTATATCTAGTAGTAGTGAACGAACTGAATGAATGAAACATCTCTTTTCGAGACCGTCAAAAAGATAGAATAGCTCACAACAAGGAAAATGAATGATTCATTAACACAAGACATTCGCTTGTCACCACCTGGCGTAATGATGGTGAACCGACTTAAAAGAATCGAGTCTTTAAGATGAATCAAAATCCCCAGCAACGATTGTAATCCTTTGATGCGGATGGAAAAATAAAGTTTACAGCAATACTTAATGCTTGCTGGAAATACTTCTGTTGTGTATTCATCTGTGTTAATTATCACACGTGTCCCGCATATTTTTAGTGTTTGTTTAACTTAAAAAAAAAAAATACTTCAAAACAAGAATAACAAATCAACACGCACTCACCACTGAATTCTTCATGGTGGATTTCACTGTAAACCCTTCCGTTTTCAGTTCTCCTTTAGCCAAAGGATGAAATGTTCGCATTTTCGTACACATTGCTAACTAAACACAGTTTCAGCTCAAAAAGAGCAATACAAATTAAAAGACTAAAACTGCTAACTCAATGGCGTCGCATTAGTTTGTCTGTTAGGGTTACCAAGCTTAATGCTTGCTGGAAATACTGCTGTTGTGTATTCATCTGTGTTAATTATCACACGTGTCCCGCATATTTTTAGTGTTTGTTTAACTTAAAAAAAAAAAAATACTTCAAAACAAGAATAACAAATCAACACGCACTCACCACTGAATTCTTCATGGTGGATTTCACTGTAAACCCTTCCGTTTTCAGTTCTCCTTTAGCCAAAGGATGAAATGTTCGCATTTTCGTACACATTGCTAACTAAACACAGTTTCAGCTCAAAAAGAGCAATACAAATTAAAAGACTAAAACTGCTAACTCAATGGCGTCGCATTAGTTTGTCTGTTAGGGTTACCAAGGACTCACTTAAGGACGCGCTGCGGTTGCTATGGAGGGTAAAAAGAAACCCGGATGTTCATCTTGCTATGGAAACAGCTCGCGCTTTGTAGTCGTTTATCAAACGTCATTAAAAATTAAAGCAAGATTGGAAATTATAGTGTAGCAAACTTATAATCAATATTGTAAACTAAAGCATTATGTTCCAGTGATATATGTGAGTGCATGAGGCATAGATTTTCTCAGCACATCTATCTTTTATTCAGTATAATTAGATTTTGTTTTTCCAATAAATATTTTAAGGGTTTTTGGTTTGGTTCACATTTGAAGTTTTAAAAGTAGACATGTGAGACCAGTAAAACAGCAAATAACATCTTATGTGTCTGTCCTGGGACGATTTTTAAGGGTCTAATGAGTACGGTGGTTCTCAACCTTTTTGACAATATAACTTTTGTCATTTAATTTAACTATAAAATGCAGTCACACATATGCTTCTTTGATACTTAATGAAAAATATTTTTTGACATTATACAGAAACAAAATAAACAGTTTTTTTTACACATGACAGTTTTGTTTCTATACCCTGGGAGGGGGGGGGAGCATTCATTGCATTGCATTGCATGTTTGTTTGTTTTTTTATTTGTTTGTTGTTGTTTTACATTTGAAGTTAGATTTCTAAAATAAAATTATATTTAATATTAAATTTAGTAAATATTAAAATTCATCATTTATTTTAAATATTATTTTAAAAAATAATACTATAACAAATCAATATAAATATTAACTGAAATAATTGTTGTTCATCTTTTGGCCCACTTAAAAGTTTCCTGACGCCTCTCTCTAGTGGATCTCAGGTTGAGAGCTGATGTATTCGCCCTAGGGCCTCCCTCATCACAAGGCCTGGGAAAAAAACATTCCCAGTTGCCCCGCCTCATTGATGGCACCGTGTCCGTCCTGCATCATGTGCTTAAGCAGTGATGCTGTATCCTACAGGTTTACTAGCACATTGTCTGCTAAATCTAGAGAGAATTTGACTGCACTAAATCATTCCACTATAAGAGTTTGGCACTTTTAATCTCTGGTGTGTCTTTGCCTCCGGACTCTTCGCAACAGTAGGCTACAGTAATTAATCTTCAGAGTGGTGTGCAAGCAGTTTCTCTGAAAACTCCTATTTGGTTTTTATGACTCCACCGAGAAAGGAAATGCCATGTATGTGTGTGTTTGAGGGGAAATATTTGCAATGTTATACTCCTATTACAACCATTTGTAACATTTTTTAATGTAAAACCCGTTTACAAGGCAATCTCATGCTAACAGAACCTAGTAACCATATCAATTAACTCTGTTATTTATAGTTATCTGCCATATTTGTTTGCCTGTCTCATCAAAATGACACATACTGGACAGTTTCACATATTTTTACTGTTATCATGCTGTTTTTCCATATGACATCGCTAAAAGAATTGCCCCCAGACACAAACCATTAGATGCTGAGTGCGTGGGCCTCATTTATGCCATTCTCATAGCACTAATGATGTGTATGTGCGCAAGACCCTTTTTGATGTGCCAAGGTCTCAGTCCCACTGCCTCCACCGCACACACATGATATGTGTGTAATGAGTAAACAGCAGACCTTCATCTTCATCATCACGGCCTCCGCTCGCGTTTGATGTGTGTCTCATTTGGCCGTTTCTCTCTGGGCTTATGTGGCATCCACTGACACAGGCAGAAATTAGACAGCGATCAACAGAAAGTTTGGTGCTGCAGGACCATTAACAGGGGAAAATGCACGCCTCGGAGTAACAGAAGCAGGAACCGGGCTGAACACACACACAGCACAACCGACAGGACTCATCGGATATGCCAATCAGCATCCCCCAAACGGCCCATTAGGGCTGCGGGTTCGAATTTCTCTGCAGGACAGCCGCAGATGACACATCAGCAACTTGACTCTGTCAAGAAGTAAAACTGTGCGACTGTAATGAAGAGAAAACAAGATGGTAAACAATGCATCTGAGAGTACATTTCTGTATTGCATTATAAAAAGTCATCAGCATAAGAGTTTACTTCAGATTCACAGTGCACTGAGCAATACCCTCTCATGTTCAGTTTTATTGTTTGTGTACTTGTCTTCTCCTTTCCGCTTGCTTGGGTTGCTGTTTTGTGAGAGTATGCTTATAATTCAGGAGCTCAAAATTAGTTGTGCATCAAGAATATCTGGTGAATATCTGCAATAGTGTGTAGCGTTTGGACCAATCAGACACACAATTATTCATTATATTTAATGAATAATCCAGCAAACACCCTTACCCAGAAAGCAAACTATCTGTTAGAGTTCTGTGGACAAACCCAAAGAGGAATTAACACCCCAAAAAAGCAGAACAGGCCTCTGGTTACCATGGCAAGCAATGACAAATCATCTGTTAACACTGCTTTTATTGCTCAAAGGAATGCAGTCAGAGTAACTCTCACTCCATTTCCTCATAGGAAAGACGCATAATGCCCATAGAAATTAACTCTTCCCTATTAATTCATAGACAAACCTTTCTATGACCTTCCTATCATGCATATCCCCAGGTCATTGTGTATATTATTACTGTTCTTGTATATTGTCTTTTGTATTGTATACTGTTTTTTGCATGCTTATGATAGAATCCTTAGTTAATATAACCTCACCTATAGTGAATATAGTATCTACGAATTCGTATTTTCATTATCTAAGTGAAGTGAAGTGACATGTGGCCAAGTATGGTGACCCATACTAGGAATTAGTGCTCTGCATTTATCCCATCCAAAGTGCACACACACAGCAGTGAACACACACACCGTGAACACACACCCGGAGCAGTTTTTTGTTGTGGCACCCGGGGAGCAGTTGGGGGTTCGGTGCCTTGCTCAAGAGCACCTCAGTCGTGGTAGTTGGGGGTTCGGTGCTTTGCTCAAGAGCACCTCAGTCGTGGTATTGAAGGTGGGAGAGAGTGCATTGGAACTGGATTAGGTGTTGATGCAAAGCTATTAAAGATTCATAAAATCTTTAATAGCTCCCCCCACCTACAATCCCTGCTGGTACGAGAATCAAACCCGCAACCTTTGGGTTACGTGTCTGACTCTCTAACTATTAGGCCACGACTTCCCCACGGCTTCGGATAGGGATTCTCGGTGTCTATCATCGACCCGAGATTCAAGTTCCTAAATGAGAGGGTTTATTATATGTTGATAGCTATGCAACATATTAGTGTTTTATGAATCTTTAATAGCTTTGCATCAACACCTAATCCAGTTCCATATGCAAAATACCATGCTCAAAGGCAAAGAGTAAACTTTCCTTCCAAAAGTTTAAGCTCAGTGACACCCCAGAGGTGTGACCTCCACAGAAGTTTAAAGGCCTCATCAGTGACCCGCCTCTCTCTTCTCTCATCACCTTTCCGTCTTCCGCTTCGTCTAAGTCCCAGGGCCGCCGCAGCCGCACCTGGCAGGCCTGGCATGTCCTCACTCTTCACCTGGGAGAAAACTCTCCCAAGCACCACCGAGTCAGAATAACATCTTTGGAGTTCATCAACCTTCAAACCATCAAGACTTTCATCTGAGACTGCATCCAGACACTCATTCAACAGCCAAGGCAATGCAAGTATCGTACATTTAACTAAACGAAACAGAGGTTTAGTATAAGCTGTAGACCTCGTTGTAAAAGGGTGCTGATGGTTTGACTCAGGTGGTTAACTTGCCTCCTTTTCATAGCTTCATTCCCTGTTTCTCTAACAGTTTCATTCATTCAGTCTCATTTGCCCTTTCCCCATGTATGAGTGATTGTGTGTTTGTTTGTTTGTTAGACTAGTTATGTGTTAGTGTTTAGTTAATAAAACTTTTGTGCACAAATTATATGAGTGTCTGATTCTGTCACTGCTTGTAAATCGATGTCCCTTTTATGATTCGAACTAGTTACATGCTCTAATGCATTAATACTGTAAGAAAGTAATTTTCTCTGGCCACAAAAATAACATTTCTTAGAGTTTATATGAAATTACACAATGTTCGCTGGACGAATGGTTTATTTGATGGTAATATTAATTCTGCTACAGTTACTACTACTGGCAGCTGATATAAATAATTGTAATTATTTAAATACATTTCCCTTTTGAGATAATTTGCTACAAGTGCATGATCGAATTCCAGAGAGCTAAGAGTACAAAATAAATAAATTTAAACATATATTCAAATGGATTTACACACATCATCATTCAAATCTGTAATCTGTAAAAAAAATTATATTTTAAATTTTTTTTAAATATTTTTCTCTTATGCTCACAAAGGTTGAATTTATTTGGTCAAAAAACAGTAAAACCTGTAATATTCTGAAATATCACAATGTTATATGAATCGCTCTTAAGGCTGCATAGAATCTTTCTGAATTATAAAAGCTATTTTAAGTCGGTCTCCTGTAGGATATCAGACCGAATCAGACAATGTAAGATTTGATAAAGAACAGTTGAAACACGAGGAGCCCAAATCCCACAGAGGCCCAAGACACCGGATGTCGTAAATCAGAGCCTGGCGCCACAAACCTGAACCAACCAGCAGCTTTGAGTAGCTCACAGCATTTAAACAAAAGAACACTTATTGACAATTCCAAGGAGATTGTCAATTTTGGGGCA